TTTTTTTTAAATTTGTTTATTTTATTGTTAAATTACTTTTTCTGTTACCATTTTTTGAAAAGTTTTTTTGCTTTTGAATACAAAAAAAAAAACTTGGTTTTGGCCATCTTTTTTGCATTTCAGTACGTTACTTTAATGTAAACGAAAAGTCTAGTGTGTACAATAATTTTGAGAAGGTGTTGCTAAAGTCTGACGGTTAGTGCATAGAACGTTAACTTTAGATTTAACTGATTCAAATGGTGCTCTTTATCATTGGTTTTGATAGAATATCAGCGTCATCATCACCATCAGCAGCAGTAAGAGCAACAACAGTAGCAGCTGCTGTTGCTAAGGCTGATATTGTTGATCATATAGTTTGATTGCTTCGTTTGAGACTGATTTATTGGTATCAAAAATATCTGATGCTTTTTTTTGGTTAGGAGAGATGGGAAAGAAGGAGGGGACTTCTGTTTTGGATGCTGAAGAAAAGTATAGGCAAATCAAAATGAAGGCTTATTTAGACTATTCTTCTTTGCAATACATTTTGCTATATCGAGAAAAAATTGCTGGTGGAAAAGTTCAGAGTTTTTGTTGTATATTTGTTATTGCTTTCGTCCTCTTTTTTTCGTTCAATTTTTCTCCATTAGAAAGCTTTGATGCTTTACAGATTGGTGCAGTTGTCGTTGATACTGATGATGTTGTTGGTGGTGTCGGTGTTGTTGTTGGTTGTTGTGTTTGACCATATGTGTGAAAAGAACTGCTGAATAAAAGAAGCTATTTCACTTCAATTCATTGTTCTCTCAGTGGGGTATCCTTTTTTTTTCGCTCGCCTTACTTTTAAAATATTTTTGATCTTTTGATTTACCATAGTTTTGCTGCTGCTGTTGTTTTTACAAAAATGGTTTTTTTTTTCTTGTAAAAAAGAAAGAAAATGGATCTTACATTGTGGTTTGTGACGGCTACTTCTTCCCTTCATTGACTTAAGTTTTTCTTATAAAAAAAGAGATTTTTTTATTCAGTAATTTTTAAAAGCTGATTACTGTTATCGTAAACACTAAAATTGGTTAATATTGAACTGGTTGGTGTATGTAAAAAAATAAAATTGGGTTAAGTCGTTTTGATACAAGAGAAATCGTTGCATGGAAAGGCAAAAAAGATGAGGGAAGAGGTTGGAGAGGTAACTGTATGGAAGTTATTTTGGCTTTAAGTAAAAATTCTTCCAACATGAATTGGGTAGTAGGAATGAAGTTTAACTTCTACAT